TTTTTTTTTTTTTTTTTTTTAATTTAATCCACGATTACTATACTATGCATTTACACTATTGCGAGTTACAATTATTTTTGAAGTTTTCGCCAATTTCGTTACTGATCTCTTACGATCTCGTTACGAATTCTTATTACTCTCATAGAATGAATTTTAAATTTACGAAATTTCTACCTTTAATTTCATGATCGCTTTAGAAAACATTCGCGTTAACGTTGATCGCATCGATTACTCATTTGTCGCGTAATTATAACGCTCTAAATCCATGACTCTACGAACGTCGAAGAAAACTTGACACAAACATCACGCGTTCACTCGTTTCGTTATACGACCCGCCGCTGGATCTCGTTATCTCAGTGTCAACGTGATGAATAGAGTACATACCGTATGCCAATGTCCATCGTGGACAGGCGAGCCGGGAGAGGGGGGCCGCGAGAGCATAAAAGCACGCACGAAGAAAAGCATCGATGCTTTTGTGGTGTTTCTCTCGTGGCCGCATCGTGTCCCAGCTGATATTGTGCCGAGAGTGATACATATAACTCGAGACTCTTCTGGCTAACCGGAGGATTGTCATGGGGCATCCACCACGACTCATGGGGACGGCCCTTGCCTGCCTTTTCCTATTTTTCGCGGTTACCGAATCGGCCCGTAAGTACCCCTAACGTTCTGACCCTTCGAGATGTACGATCGCACACATACACACATACAGACACGAATACTCGTCTCCCCAAAATTCTTTTTTTCCCTTTTCGATAATATCGCTGGAAGAAAAATTTCGAACAGAATAATGGAAAATAATAATTATGTTATTTTTGTACGATCGAAATTTTTGAAATTCATTTTTTTCGAATTTTTGGTATATTTATATATACTATGAGAAAAGATTTGGAAAATATATTATTCTTTTGTATTCGAATTTTTTTTTTTTTTTCTTTTTTGAAGTTCATATCAGCCAAGTTTTAATAACTGCGTTACACGTAGTAACATTTCAAATACCGAAATTTGTGTAACTATTGTTTGCAGTTTGGCTCAGTTTCTCTCGGAGATTCATTGTGAAAGGGTTAACTTTATACAGTGGAATATGCTACAACAAAATAATTAATTTCAAAACCTCGTTATTATGGATATTAATCCTTTTGGGATTACGAATTTTATTTTTAATAAATAAATGCATAATATTGCGCTATTGTGGAACGTAGAAAAAGAGCAAGCTGAGTCTAATTCTCGAAATAGAATGTGTAATCTCAAAAGAAAAAAAAGTTGTAACAAATATACAATTAATATTTAAAAATTACTTGAAGATGTATCATCCTATTAGGCTCGAAATGTTTCGTGCTCGCTATCTACAACAAAGTTAGCACCCAGTACGATGATTTAGGCAAGAAAAATTTAATTGAAAGTAATATAATAATCGTCAGAACAATCCGCATTCATTGTTGCCGCGTTGTAGCATGCTCTATTGTACTTGAGGGATGGTTTTAATCCTATCCTTGACTTTATTTAATGAAAATTTATTTTTTAAAGATTTCTTTCGATCATTCTGTTGATTGAAAAAAAAATTTTAATTTAAAAATAAATTAAAAACATGAAACAATTCATTTTAATTTTCAATTTTGTTAATCGTTTATAAATAATTAGATAATATTCTGATTAAATAATTTTCAGATTTTAATAATATATATATATAATTTATTCTCTTAATTATATATAAAATTATAAATCCTGAATAATATTTCGATTAATTATTTCTTCTTATTGTATTATTTATGATCAAAGATTAACAGAATTTTGAGCTACAATTTCTATCATTTTCAAAAAGATTCTCAAAAAGAAGAAAATTTAGCTCAAGAGTAGATAGAATATTTAGAATATTTTTGAGAGGGTATTGTTGAGAGGGATTAGAGAAAGAATTATTATTGATTAGAAGAGAGTTGATAAAGTGATGAAGTAATTTTATCAAAGAAAAATGTTGACCTTTTATGGAATGAACTAGCATTTCATTCTTTAATTACAAAAAATGACTTTCTACGAGATTGGCGAATTAAAAGATAAATGACACGCTCGCGTTTGCAAAAATTTTGATAGCTTCTGAGAATCTCATAAGAGGAAAAGCAACAATCCTTTTTTTATTATAAACGATTTCTTCGATAGGGCTACAACTTAGGTGGCTTTATCATTAAGAATTCTGTTTTAAAGAGCGTGTTTAAAATTTTCAAATTTTTTCTTCTTTAAAACAAAAATTCGTCTTAATTCATTTGCAAAGATTTCTGTTTGAACACGAAAAATTTTTAATTCTTTTAATATAGGAAATAACAGAAGAGAAATAATGAAAATAAGACATGGTTCATTAAAATTCTCTACACAAAATCTACAATTTCGTCATTAAATCATAAAAAAGATATATATTGTATAATTTTTTTTAATATAAAGATATACTTTTTTACAAACAAAAAAAAATTGATAAATATATAT